CCCCAAAACCCCAAAACCCCAAAACCCCAATTCAGCCACCAACAATAGAATAAATTTATATAAATGCACAGTTGAGACAAAGTGATGAAAGAAGAGATTGAAATCTTTACTCAAGAACAAGAAGTTTTGTACTCTATTCATGCGTATTTTAAGGGAACTCAAATATCTAATCGGCAGTACAAGTTCGATGGATATAGTTATGAGGAATTGGTAGATTTGAAGATGACAAATTCTTGAAGATATTATAAGCTTATCCAGAAATAAAGTTACAGTCAAAGAGCCGATTTTTGACAATATTGAGACAGATTACAGAGTTTTGTTTGATGACTCTCTTATCAGCTCAAAATCTCTTTATAAGTATATAGAAATGCTCGACTTTAAAAGAGCAAATAAACTAATAATTGGAGTTCAACTTCTACGTTGATCAAATTTACTGACCCTAAAAACCAAACCTTTGATGGATAAGATATGGAAGATAAAAGCTCTAAGCCTCGGACTTCTCAAAATCACCGGAAGACAGCTAGCTTTAATCTTTACCGCCAATACCCAAATCCTAAACTGCTCTTTCCACGAATGAAAACTTGGAAATACAAAACTCACCCACTCAAACACCTTAAACTCCAAAATCGCCTTCCTGGGCATCACTCACTGCACCTCCCTCACCTCCCCCACCCCTCTCGACCTCGACTTCTTCACATCTCTCCTCACCTTCATCAGCTCCACACCCCTCTGATCCTCCCTCACAAACATCTTAATCCAAGACCTCAACCCCACAGTCTCCCAAATATCCACCCTCAGAGACCAAACCAGCCTAACCCACATAACCTTCAGGATCTTCGCAAATCACTCTTTCTCCATCCTTAAAGAACAAAAGGGGTCTAAGCCTTCCAAAAAAACCAGTTTTGTTCCTGAGTAATTCTGGAATTAATCTTTGGTAGTAATTTTAGAGGAAATCTTATGCCTGAGGTTCAATTTTGGGGATTTTGGAGGGGTTTTGGGGTTTTGGGGTTTTGGGGTTTTGGGGTTTTGGGG